TAGGAGCTAACAGCTTTCCAACCCCTTTTTATATGATGAATTCTCCCTATCCCATGATGCTCTGCACACGCTATGAAGTTGCTCACAGACCGCTCCCTCCACACACGACAGTGTGGGCCTTCCTGTCCACAGGTGTAACTGCTTCTGCACCCTGTGTGTCCCACCTGTGTCTGCCCTGTCAGGTGCTCGCGCCACCTTAGCAGGGAGCTCAGGGTGTTGCTTGTGTTTGTGACCGTAATAGCTGAGCCTCTGGGGTTCGTCTCCACAAGGCAACCATTTGCAGGGCAGTGAGAGGGGAGGTCCACACTATTTAAAGAGCAAACGCACTTTAACTTTCAGATGTGGAATTTAAAAAAAAAAACCCACTGGGGAACTCTACATGTGGTTTTTTTCGGGATGTTTCCCAGTGGTTTGGGCGAGATCCATGAAGCGGATTACAGATATACTTTCAAATTACTGCAGCAGACATCCACAGGCTTTGATGACTTTTCCTGCTTCTTGGAGGGCTGATCTTTAAACTGGCATGCCGAAACAAAATAAAGAGCTCATTCCAGTCATAGTGGCACAGAACGCGAGAAACTTTGGGAATCCAAAAGATATGTTTTGGCTCATTTATATTTATTTATTTGTAAAGACATTCCCAAGGAAGAGTGAGTCACCATATACCTCTGTGACAACATGCTTGATAAATCTGAAATGATGTGCTGTGCAGAGCTTTTCCTGTTATGGTTAAGGATGAAAAAAAATGCAGTTCAGTCATTTAAAAAAAAAAGAAATGAAGTGGTCTTTAAAACAGTTGAGAAACCACATCAAGATGACATGAGCAGATCACTGTGTTTCATGTTTATTCTTCCTGCACTGGAATCAGCCCTCATTAAACCTCATTAACTCCCTGTCTAGCACTGCACGGTCTGTGCACAGAGGAGAGCAGTCTGACGGGACTCGGACGAGATTAAAGAGCACTGTGAAGAGTCCCATGTGCCCGGCCTGTGAGAACAAATGAATGCTAAAGAGTGCCATGACCCCTTATGTAGTTATTTCGTTTGTGCACGTTCCTGGAGGGCATTGCACACATGATCCTGATGTCTGTGTCGCAGTTATGAAGAGATTACGCAGCCAGTACGCAGCAGCATCCGAACAACCGCTGCCAGAAAGTCACCGTCACTTGGACAAACGCTGGGTGTTCTTCCTGTGTCTAACTGGGACTCCCCTGACCCCAGGTCTGTGCTGGGGGTGTCTGTGACCTGGGAAGGGGGAGGCTCTCACCCGGCTCCTCTCTCTCCTCAGAGCGACGTAGCCGCCCTGCCCTCTGACCCCCCCGATGATCCGGACGACGGGTGCTACGAAGAGGCCGAGCCCTTTTTCCCGAGCGGTCCGCCTACAGGTATTCCGCACGATTCGGAAGATACTCTGCTGCTCCGGGGAGTCGGGGGGGAACACCTGTAACAAGCCAGCTGAAGCTTATCTGCACGCTGCTGGCTACAGTATATACTACCCAAGTGTGCTGAGGTGCTCCCCTGCTTCAATGATTGGTTGCCTCTTGCAAATTTGACTCCCACTTTTATGACGCTCCTTTGTCTTTAATGTAGGTTGTGCAATCTGAAAATGCTGCACGAATCAACAAATGAAATATTATTTCATATATAGTACAGAGATACCTACTATTTCTGTCTAAAAATATTATTTCAAATCCACTGTTTAACTTTGTTGTTATTCGTCTAATAAAAACATTCAGGGTGTCCATATACTGTATATTCAGCATCTAGAATTGGCAAGCAATAATAATAATTCCCTACACTTATATAGTGATTTTCCGGACACTCCACTCAAAGCGCTGTACAGGTCATGGGGACCCCCTCCACCCCCACCAGTGGGCAGCCCCACCTGGATGATGCTCCAGTCCTCTCCCCACACACCAGCTCTCAGTGGGGAGGAGAGCAGAGTGATGAAGCCAGTTCAGAGAGGGGGGTTATTAGGAGGCCATGACTGGTAAAGGCCAGGGGGGGGAAATTTGGCCAGGAAGCCGGGGTAACACCCCTACTCTTTTCAAGAAACACCCTGGGATTTTTAATTACCACAGAGTGTCAGGACTTTGGTTTTAGTTGTCATCTGTAGGATGGTCCTTTTGTACAGTATAATATCCCTGTCACTATACTGGGGCAGATAACCCATACTGACTGCAGGGTGAGCGCCCCCTTACTGGTCCCACTAAAACCTCTTCTAGCTGCAACCTTATTTTTTCCCCAGGAGGTCTCCCATCCAGGTACTGGCCAGGCTCCCACCTGCTGAGCTCCAGTGAGTTCAGGGTGATACAGCCCATGAGGCCTCAGTGCGCTGGTCAGACACCGACACTGATTCTCCTTTCAGAGGGTGTGGACTCAGACAGCAGCCATTACGAGTCGTACGGGGAGGAGGAGGAGGAGGAGGAGGAAGAGGACTCTGTGAAGGACCGCGCCCACTACATCCAGTGGCGCTCCTCCCAGCCCTGCCTGCGCCCCGCCCCCGAGTCCCGAATCTGCGGCTACCTGTGGCGCAAGAGGTGGCTTGGCCAGTGGACCAGACAGCTCTTCGTCATCCGGAACCACCTGCTCCTGGTAAGGCCCCAGCCGGGTGTCACCCGCCCAGATCCACCACTGGGAGAAGGACTGCTGTCGACCTCTTCCGTGGAAGTGTTGCACTGGTGCACAGGAGAATGTGACTGGCAGTTTGTGCTGTAGATCTCTGGTATGTTGGAAGTAGCAGCAGAAGAGATCTTCTCTCTGTTAATGGCTTCCTACTCACTAATTCACTGAGTGTTTTCTGTCTTTACACTAGCTTTCATTTTCCCGGGTTTTTGGGTCAGCTTGCAAGCTTTCGTGCCTTGACTTGGGTGGAAGGTAGTTCTTGCCCGTGCAAACACACCTCCACACCACCCTGTCACTATAAGTAGCAGCAGAAGAGTCAGCCATTTATACGGCGCCCCTGGAGCAGTTGGGATTAAGGGCCTTGCTCAGGGGCCTAACAGAGCAGGATTCCTCTGCCAGCCTCGGGATATGAACCGGCAACCTTCCAGCCACAGGCTCAGATCCTGAGCCACAGAGCCACCACACTGCACCAATCTTTGTGCTCTCCCCTGTCAGAACCTTGGCTCTTTTTACTCTGAGAATCCCAAGGCTGTCTCGATAACTGTGCTCTTGTGACCCCAGGATGAGAGTAGATTTTCAAGTGCCTAATAATAGGTCACTAAAAATGGAAAAAAAAGTACGGTATATATTGAATGTTTTAAAGTTATCATGTTTTTTGCCTCTGGGGAGAAGGGGGTACTTCTGAAAGCATTTTGGAGGTGTCCATAAGTGCCCCCATTGTTACTTAAATACATGCGAAAGGTCTTAAATACGGAAAACCACTTCCTCAAACGTCGTGAATTGGCTTTTTTAGTGCTGTGCACATGGGCTACTGTGGTGTTTTCAGTGTAAGGAAGGACTGGCGTTGCTGTCTGTGTGTGCGAGAGAGACGTTCACAGGGGGCTGGCCTGTGACATCTCAGCGTCGCCCTCTTTCTCCCCTGCAGTGCTACAAGTGTGCCAAGGACCTGCAGCCCCTGCTGGAGCTGTGCCTGCAAGGCTGCCACGCCGTCTACAAGTCCAAGCTCAACAAGAAGATCCAGCACGAGCTGAAGGTGGTGACCAGCGTGGAGACCGTGGTCCTTGGCTTCCCCAGCCGGCAGCAGGCGGAGGAGTGGAGGAAGGTTTGGAGGTGTTTACAATACTGCGTACCCCTCAGAGCGGCCAGGAGGCGATGCCCGAGCCGGGC